AGAAAAATGCAGCAACTGTTATTTTTGCTTGTTCTGAGCTCTACAGGGAACTTATACATCTTCAACTCAAGAGATAAAGGGAGGGCCCTTTTGTCCAAACCGATGGTATGAGCAACTGCCACTGATAGTGAGGCAACCTAGGAGATGAAGAAGACTGTGCCTGCTGTCGGTGCCGCTGTCATGCCTGCTTCTTGGACGGCCATCTACACCAGGTGTCCCCAACCACCGGACCGGTACCGGTCCGTGGATCATTTTCTACCGGGCCGCCAATTTGCTGGGTGCCGCCATCTTGTTTCGACGAGAAAGTGCTTCCAGGTGAGCTTTTCCGGTTGGAAAGCAGCGTTTGGGTCCTGAAGGAATCCTCACACCTTAGTTTCATTGAGGGGGGGGGGGGCAGCTTCGAACGAAGAGCCGTCCCAATGGCGGGGGAGATTAAGAAAGCACAAAAAAGCACAAAAAGGTACAAAGGAGGAGTTGAAGGTGGCGGGGAAAAGCGGGGGACGGCTGGCTGGCTGGTTGCTCGGCTCGCCTTGCCATGTGTGCTGATGCCGGTACCGGGCCGCGGACCATTTTGTGATGCCGGTACCGGGCCGTGGCACAAAAAAAGGTTGGGGGCCACTGATCTACACAGCCCCTGCTGCCGGACACCTCCCCCCCCCCCACCCCCCCCCCCTGAAATGCCCTTTACCCCCAGGGCTGCATGGCAACTTCTCCTTCCTCACGGCCGCCACTGAGCCAGCCCTCCACCTGGAGGACCGGCCAAGAGTTCCATTCTCTGGCTGCTGGCCCACAATCCTCACCCTTCCCAGCTTGCTTTGTGCCCAGTAGTGGAAGCCACTTCAGCCGCACCCTCAGGGCTCCTCGGCTACGGTGTGCCCCACCTCTCCCTGAGCGAGGGGCTGCAGACACCGTGGGGCTCGGAACAGGCTGGGGAGCGTAAGAATCACGGGGCAGCAGATGGGGAATGGAGGGTTGGCTTGGGGCAGGCAGTGAGGAGGGCATGGCTGCTGGGCAGCTCCAAGGCTGCGGTTGGAGGGGCCACTGCTGGGTGCAGAGCAGGCTGTGGAGGGTGAGAATTGCAGGGCGCTGGCCGGAGAGTGGGAGCAGGCTGCTGATGCCAGCTGAGCCCCCCTGATCTGGGAGGAAGAGGCGGATGAGATAATGCAAGCCCGCCGCTTCCAGTGCATACGTCAGAATGGGGTCAGCCGGAAATATACGTGCATGTGCCCACCTTCCTGTGCTTACCCCGGGACAGTGTGGGCTAGGCCAAAGCAAAACTGGCCTCTTGCTATTTCCAGGATAGCTATGCAGGCCAGATCCAACCACATCAAAACAGGCCCTTACCCACAGCAGCCAGATTCCTAGAATTCTCCAGCATGACTTCTCTGTGTAAGGCTCTCTGGCTGGAATCCAACAGAGCCCACTCCTCCTCCGTGAAATACACAGCCACGTCCTCAAAGGATACAGAGCACTGAAATTCAAAGGAAATGTTAGTCAGCACAGACATCCCAGAACTTTCTCTTCCACATTTCCAATATCCTAAAAGTAAATTTCTGTAAGACAGAAAATGCTCCTTTTCTGATATGATGTACCACTAGGTTTTGATACCTGCCTCTCCAACAATCCATCTGTCTGATTAGAATTTCTTCCTACCACAATTCATTTCGGTGAAAGACTTTGAAAAGGAACGCCATCTTGTCGCATCTCTTTCTGTGTGAAAAGGGTTGTTGTTGTTTTTTGCAGAAGCTACCATTCTGATGGAGTAATAACTCCATACCTCATGTATATCACTTTCACTGAAACCGCTTGAACAAGTCAGACTAACGTTTTGGACTTTAAGGATTTCCTGCTCAGATGAGGCTCCTTACCTGAGATGTTGCGGCAGAGAGACGAGATAGTTCTTCTCCACGGTCAGGGTGTACCCTGGCCATCTTCATCCGCTGGCCCTGCAATTTAAAATATATCCAAGGATGAAAGACGAACAAATGTTAAAACAATTAAACAGAAGAGTGATGGAGTCTCCAAATGGAGTCTCTCTCTCTAACCATGTTAGAGCTTAGTTCACGAGTGTCAAACACAATTTCATTGAGGACATTAGCATCACGGTTGCCGTCAAAGGGCCAGTTGCATATACGACTATTGTATCTTATTAGTTCAGGAGTGTATTATGTCTAAGACCTGAGCCAACCAGTATTAACATTTCAAATATGAACACAAAAATTATTCCAAATAAATCTGCAAAAACTAATTTAAAACAAAGAAAACACAATCTTTTTAGTTCTCTCTCTCTCTCGTACCTTTTTGTCCCTGCTGGATGTTTGGCATCTTTTCTTGGCTACAAGCTCATCCAAGTTTACGGTTAGGTTTTGAGCTGTGGAAACTCTCAGGATAGAGAGGAGGTGTGCAGGAGTGAGAACACTCCTGTGTGCCCTTTTGTTCACCCTCATCATGGAGAAAACATTCTCACACAGGTGTGTGCTACCAAACATGCAGAGCATTTGAGCAGCTCGTAGGCGGAGTTGGGGCATCGTTTCAGGGATGAGCTGGGTGAACTGGGTGAATCCTACAGAATCGTACTTGGCCTTCAGTGTGCTGCTAGACTGGAGTTCTATCAGCTCCATCTGGAGGTCCACAGGGGCTATCTTCACATCGACTGAGAACGGATTAACAAACAGTCCAAAATTGAACGTCTGCGCTTCCAACTCAACAAAGCGACGTGTAAACTCCCTGTGAAGTGCGCTCAGTTTATCCGCAAACCGAGCCTGCGAGAACACAGTGGTGGAGACTTGGCTGACAATTGCTTGGCAACAGGGAAAGTGAGCCAAGTTTCCTTGCTGAATCTGAGTCTCCCAGAGTCGCAACTTTACTTGAAACCCTTTCACTGCGTCATACATGTCCGTGATCACACGGTCCCGTCCCTGAAGCTGAAGGTTTAGCTCAGTGAGATGCTTCGTTACGTCGCACAGAAAGGCTAATTCGCACAGCCACTTTCCATCCCTCAGTACCGTGGAGTCTTTCCCTTCACTTTCAACGAACTGACAAATTTCCACACGCAGCTCAAAAAATCCATTGAGCACTTTTTCTTGACTTGGCCAACCCACCTCTGTGTGGTAGGGCAGATCACCAAGTTCAGAATGTATCTCCTCAAGGAAAGACTTAAATTGACAGTGATTTAAATCCTTGGCTCTTCTTATGAAGTTAATTGTCTGTGTGACAGTGCTCATTACATGTTCCATCTTCAGGGTTTTGCCGCACAGCGTTTCCTTGTGCATGAGGCAGTGATATGCCGTCAGCACACCTGTGCAATTCTCGCTCTTCATCTTCTCTCGCATTCTTCCCACTAACCCACTCTCTTCCCCGCACATTGAAGGTGTTCCATCCGTTGTCAGTCCCATAAGTTTATCCCAGGGCAGTTTCATGTCATTTACGCATTTCGATACTGCTTCAAATAGGTCCTTTCCTGTGGTAGTGCCATGTATTGATTTCATCTCCAAAAGTTCCTCTGTAATGCATAAAGCTGAGTCCACTCCACGGATGAAGATTGTCAGCTGAGCCATGCCAGAGATGTCAATGCTCTCGTCCACAGCAAGGGAATAGGCAATGAAATCTTTTCCCTTTTCAACCAACTGTCCGTGTAAAACACCGGCGAGCTCACCTATCCGACTGGCAACAGTATTTCTGCTTAGGCTTACGTTCAAAAACGCTTCCTTTTGGTCTGGGCACAAGATTTCACACACTTGAAGCAGGCAGCGCTTCAAAAACTCACCCTCGGTAAAGGGCCAGGCTGATTTAGCTATCTCTTCTGCCACGATATAACTAGCTTTCACAGCAGCTTTGCTTTGTGACTTTGCTTTTCTGAAGGAGATCAGGTTCTTCTTCAACTCTTCCGCTTTCTTCAGCTTCTGCTCCATGTTCAGGTGTTTGTACTTGTCCTGATGTTTGGCCTCATAGTGCCGTCTCATGTTATATTCCTTAAAGACAGCCACCGTATCTCTGCAAACAAGGCACACCGCCCTATTTTCAATGTCAGCAAACAGGTACTCTGCCTCCCACCTCTTTTGAAAGCACCTGTTTTCAATGTCCACTTTCCGTTGGGCCATTTGGGGGGGGTTAATTGTCGGCATGCAGGTCTTCTCCATGGCAGAGGGTTGAATATATGGCAATACGAGACTGCAGAGAAAGCTCACAGTCCCAGGTGCTCCATGAGGCGAGCAGTTGGGAACTCCGTAGGTATCCAGTTTGGAGGCTCAATAGGATGCTGTGGATCCAGATGTTTTCAGCAGGTTTAGCATGTCACAGCATCTACGGAGAGAAAGCGAATGCAGCCACAAGTGATACAATTGAAATTATATATTTTATACAGGAGAGATCCTGGATGGATGGATGGAGGGAGGGAGGAAGGGAAAAAAATCAGCAATCCACCATCACTGCCAACGTGATCTAGCAGCCAAAGGGGCTACCCAGCCTCTCTAGTTAAACTACCCCCATTTCTGATCAGATTCTGATATTTTCAGGGCTGCCTTTTGGTCTCTGATTGTAAGAGGAAAAAAGACCCCCAGGTTTCCCAAATAGGAAACAAGGAACCCCTCTTTTCCCAGCAACTCTCTTACCTCCAAGAAGCCCAGAAATATAGCTCCAAATCTCTGTAAATAGCCACCCAAAATTTAGCTTTGCAGGCAATGCTGGTTAGATTCCCTCAGGGCCTCCTTGTGGATTTCTCCTTGGGGAGGGGGTTGGGGGCAGATCCAAAACACCATTGACTTCCACGTGGAATAATCTGGGCAGGGAAAAGAGAAATCTGGGACTAAAAATGGAGGGAAACCAAAGTCTCTTCTATCGTTACAACCTGCATTTGTGTCTCCATGTTAGTGGAGTTGGAGACGCAGATTCCCTTGGGAGTCCCTCTCCCTCCTGTGGAATAATCTTGACAGAAAACTGTGGGACTGAAAATGGAGGGAAACCATTTCTTAATAGCCCACAGCAGATCTTTTGTGCCCATTGAGAAAGATGGGGCCAGCCTATTCGGAAAGAAAAGACCTTCTTCACCTCCAGTGATGGGATTAAAAGTTTACATTCTCCTCCACCCCAATTCTAAGAACAGGATATGACAGTTTAGGATTAACCCATCTACTATTTAGCAGGAAGAATAAAGAGCTCCCTACATAGCACAATTTCCTAAGGGCCTTTCACACAGTGCACAACCCCCTCGCCTTCCCCCCAAGCAGCATTTCAGGACCTCTATCAAATCCTGGCACTCATCTCTAGCTAATTGTTCGGCTGACCCAGAACTGTTGTTGGTTCCATCCATCATTAAAGTTTCTCTCCCATCAACCTCCATTTTATTTCCAGCGTCTTTTCTCCCAGCTTGGAACTGAACCAGGTGGATTTTTCCTTCCAACAGGAGGGAAACCAAAGTCTCTTCTATTGCTACAACCTGCATTTGTGTCTCCAAAGTTGGACCCTGTTATATCCATGGTTGGAGATGCAAATTCGGTTGGGATTCCCTCTTCCTCCCGTGGAATAATCCAGGCGGGGAAAGAGGATTGTGGGACTGAAAATGGAGGGGAACCGAAGTCTCTTCTATTGTTACAATCTGCCAAGTTCCCCTCTTCCTCCTGTGGAGTAACCTGGATGGGGAGCCAGAACTCTGGGACTGAAAGTGGAGGGGAAAATAGTCTGTTTTATTCTCACAACTTGCATTTGTGTTCTCCAAAATTGGACCCTCTTATATCCACAGTTGGAAATGCAAATTCCCTTGGGATTCCCTCTCTTCTCCCGTGGAATAATCTGGGCGAGGAAAAAGGACCCTGGGACTGAGTGGGAAGCTTGCAGTTCTCCTCCCCGCCCTCCTCCTCGGATTCAGAGGCAGGAAGGCCCGGCGCTGCTCCCCACCCCTTCCGCAAAAACATCGGGCTTACCTGCCGGGCCTAGTCCGCTCCTCTCCTGCCCGGAGGCTCAGCTCTTCCGCTCCGGATTCCCTTCGCTTCCCAGGTCAGCGGGATCGCGCTTTCCTCCCGCTTTGGATGTGGGGGAAGCGCAGCTGCAATCCGTTCCCCGCCCTCCGCTCCGCCTTCCACGCCACGCCACGCCACGTGCTTCTTTCCCAGGTCTCGAGTTTTGCAAAAGCCCGCGGGTGGATCTGGTTCCGCTTGGGGGAGATCTTGCCAAGAATTGGAGAAGATTCCCCCAGCAGCCTTAGGGAGGAGCCTCCACCGATTGGGAGAGGGCTCCAATCCGCGTAGGGAGCAATTCCCCGTCTTTTTGGTATGGTTAATAGAGTGGAGTGGAAGGGAACAGAATGGAAAATAAGGAATGGATTTGAAATTAGAAATAGAGATAGGAATGGAATGGAATAGGAATAGGAAAGAGTAGAGTAAGAATAGAAGAGTAGAGTAGAATAGAATTAGAATAGAATTTAGAATAAATAGAATAGAATAAGGAATAGGATAGGATCGAATCGAACAGAACACAACACATTAAGGAATAGGGATAGGATAGGACAGAACAGAATAAGGAATAGGAATAGAATAGAACAGAATTAGGAATAGGAAAAGGAATAGGAATAGGATAGAATGGAATAGAATAGAAATGGAATAGAATAGAATTTAGAATAGAATAAGGAACAGGGAATAGGATAGGATAGAATCGAATCGAACAGAACAGAACACATATAGGGATAGGATAGGATAGGACAGAACAGAATAAGGAATAGAATAGAATAGAATAGAATAGAATAGGGAATAGGAATAGGATGGAATGGAATGGAATAGAATAGAAGAAAATAGAATAGAATAGAATAGAATAGAACAGGACAGAATTAGGAATAGGAATAGGATAGAATGGAATAAAATAGAAATGGAATAGAATAGAATAGAATAGAATAGAATAGAATAGAATTTAGAATAGAATAAGGAATAAGGAATAGGATAGGATAAAATCGAATCGAACAGAACACATTAAGGAATAGGGATAGGATAGGATAGGATAGGACAGAACAGAATAAGGAATAGGAATAGAATAGAGTAGGGAATAGGAATGGAATGGAATAGAAAAGAAAATATGGAATGGAATGAAGAAGAATAGGATAGGATAGGATAGGATAAGGAATAGAATAGAATAGAATAGAATAGAATAGAATAGAATAGAATAGAATAGAATA